TTTTTTCCCCGTTCGATTTTTTCCCTCTCTCCGTCCCTTTGCCGAGCCGTTAATTTTTTTAATTTGTTTTTGTTTTGTTTTAATTTTTTAAATTGAAAAAAGTGAAAATATTTTATGAGAAAACAAACAAACAACAACAACAACAAACACGAATTCCGCCATATCAGGGTCATTTGAATAAATTTATTTAATCGGGTTTTTTTTTTTTTTAAATAAATAAATTTAACATATCCGAATCCCGGGGGTCACAAATTACGCGCGTTTCGAGTTATTTTTACCATCCGCCACATTGCCGCCATATTGCCGTCGCCGCCGTCTAATACCGGCGGCTCCTTTTCACTCTTGTAAAGTAGTACTAGTAGCAGTGGCAGCAACCTTTCTTTTTTTTTTCCCGTTTTCTTTTTTTTTTTTTTTTTTATTACTTTCGATGGCATTTATTGAAACCGGCGGTTTAACTTGGGGGGCGGGGAGGGGGAAGTCGATCGGCGGGGGACGCGGCGTCGTTAACGCGAATGAAATTTCGTTTCATTTCCTCTCCCCCTTCCCCAACACCACCACCGCCACCCCTTCGCTCACTTCTTCTCCCGTCTTAGGGGGGTGGTATGCTCGTCGTGTCAGCAGAAAGTTTTGTTTTTCTTTTTATTTTAATTAAAAAACTTTACGACGAAACAACTTATTTAGGTAGGAGATAGATAGGGTACCTTTAATTACGAAGAAAATTTCTCTCTCTCACACTTTCTCACTCTCTATTTCTCTCTCTCTCTCTTTTTTTTCGACGACGACGACGAACGCAAAAATCTAATTCGATGGAGGGAAAATTTTTTTTTTTTTTTTGGTAGAAACTTTTTAAAGTGATAATAATCCGAAAATGGGTTTTGAAAAAAAAAAAAAAAAAGTTTTCGAATAACCCTCGGGGGACGAAAAAAGATGCAAACTAAGACGGAAAAAAAAATAGAAAAAAAAACTTTTTAAAATAAAAAAATTTCAATCGACGACAACGACGACGACGACGACATTATTTATTCGATTATTTCGATTCGATTCGATTCGATTTTTGTTTTCCACACCTGATAAGTTTTTTTTTTTTTTTTTTTTAAATGTTTTTATTAACAAGGGACTTATTTGGACATGGCGCGGGGGAACGCGTCGTAATTTTGTTATTGTTTTTATTTATTTATTTATTTGAAGTTGGTTGTTGTTGTTTGGTTGTTGTTGTTGTTCGTTTGTTGTTGTTTTGCGTGCGCGCTCTCGGTCGTTCGATCGCGAAGCCTATCGCCCACCACATGTAAAGCAATTTCCACGGACGGCGGGTTTTAAATTCTGGACGTTGTTCAAGGTCCCGAATTTTGCAATGTCGTTGCCACAGTGCTGTTCTGTGCCCACACTCTGGTCGTTTCTTTCTTACACACCTCATCGTGTTGTCGATAATAATGCGAAAGGAGGAGGGGAGGAGGGAAGGAGGGAGGGAGAGTGTTGTTTGTTGTTGTTGGTAGTCGTTTGTTTTAAAATGTTTGTTTGTTTGTTTTTTTTTTTGTCAGTATTTGTGTCGTGAATTTATAAGAAAAATCGAAGGCGGTGGTCGTTTGTACGTGGGACGATGTTGATAATAATAATTTTTTCCAACGTGCGTATTCGATGGTGGTGGCGGCGGCGGGGAGGGGGCAGGCCCCTTTTTTTGTCTCCATTCAGGAATTTTTATAATTGCGAAATTTTTTTTTTTTTTTTATTACAATTTATTGCTTCGTGATGTAATCAAACGGAAAATAATAATAATGATGATGATGGAGAGGAGGAAAGCGATAATAATAATAATATAAAAAAAATGTCGATTGATCACGTAAACGATTTGACGATGACGTTGAACGAATTTCGGGATGTGGAAAAAAATTCCGGGACGGTTGGTCGGTTGGTTGGCTTTTTTGTGAGAATATTTATGGAAAGAGCAGGATCCGGAAATGGAAATCGGATGGAATGAACATGAAAAATTTATGTACGATCCGCCGTGGGGAGAAAATTTCTCGCATCATCATTATTATTATTGTTGACGTCACACGCGGCTCCGATTTTGTTAGTATCCATCACGACGGAGGTGAATTCCTCGGGGGTGGGGGTGGGGGCGATTTGGTATGAACGAAATAAACGAAACGGAAGATGAGGGAAAGGAACGGAAGCGGAAAAATTTTCGTTATATGAAAAGAAATCATTCGCCGTGGAATTAGAAGTGTGTGCGTGTGTGCGTTTGTAACAGTTTTACGAATAGGAAGCAGGTGTAGGAAACAGATGATGTTTTCGATTAGGTTGATTAGGAATCGTTTAGGTTTTTGTTTTGTTTTTAAAAAAGAGAGAGAGAGAGAATATGAAGGAGAAACGTTTAAAATCGTTTATTAAGGAAATTAATGAGAAATGTTAGCAGACGACGTAAAACACAAAATTGTTTTGATTACAATTTTTAGATTTTTTTCGTGAAAAATGAAAACAGTAACGTGGCACTAGTTTCGAGTAAAAAAAAAAAGAAGGCGAGAACCGTATGGGTTGAAATTAAGGAGAGACATGTTGGCGAATTCTCTCTCTCTCTCTCTTTTTCGGAAAAGGAAACGAGAGAAAATATATAAATAAAAATTGATTTTTACTCGGGGGTGACAGAATCATCGGGGGGGGGGGCGCACACACACACGATGTATGGCGAGTTGCGTTGACCCGAAATTATTTAAAATATTTTTAGGCGCGCCTAAAAAATTCATACCGTCACACAATCGTCATCATCATCATCGTGAATGGTATTATTATTATTATTGTAACAAAGAATGAAAAAGGAGGAAGGTAGAAGGTGGAAGGTGATGGTGGGGGGTAAGGAAACCGTGGAAAAACGTGTTGAGAAAGAAACGTGGAAGAAGATTCCGATTACGAACGCACAACCACACCATAATACTTCGTGACGTGATTGCATTTCTCGAGGACTCTGAACTCTTTTTTTTTTTTTTTTTTGCCGCGAATTGAATTCATGGTCATTTGTTTTTTTTCCTTTTTTTTTTTCTATTCTTTTTTTGTGTTTTTTGTTTATCTTCCATTCTACTTTGTGATGTTTTTACGCTTTACGTTTTTGTCCTTTTTTTTCTTTTGTTGTTGTGTGTTTCTAAAGAGAGATATAGAAAAAAAAAAAAAAATATTTTATTTTATTATATAATCGTTTAATATGTGCATGCGGCGAGTATGATTGTGTTATTGGTTTTTTTCGTTTCGACGTGGAACTAGAGAAAAAAAGGGAAAAGAATTCTCACAGGTGACGATAATTAGAAGAAATATTACGAAAATGAGAGAGAGAGAGAGAGACAGAATAAAAACGCGCTTCCTCGTTGGTATTTTTTTTTTCTTTCGTAAGAAAGGAATGACCACACAAAGTCACGGTTCGTTGATTCTCTCTGTCTCTCTCTCTCTCTCTCTCTCTCTCTCCTAGCGTTCATTTTTTTTTGCATTTCGTATTTTTCGATTTGATTGTGTAACTTTCTCGAATTAACGGATTATTAAATTCATTTGTTTGTTTGTTCGTATGCTTGTTGTCCTTGTCGACTTTTTCCGGAATCGGGAATCGGCGGAAATGGCAAAAAAAATTAATTTTTTTTCCCTCCCCATTTCTCTCTCTTTATCTCTCTCTTTCTCTTTCTTTCTTTCTTTCTTTCTTTCTCTCCTTCTTCCCGCATTCTCGAAGAGATGAAGCAACGTGTTTGAGTTAATAATTAGGGTGTATCAAAGTTGTGTTAAACTTGAGGTTTTTCTCTTTTTGTTTTTTTTTTTTTGTTTTTGCTAGAGAGAGAGAGAGAGAGAGATAGAGAAAAAAACAAGTAAAAGAAATTTTTGACCGCGAAAAATGGCAACAATGGAAAGAGAAAAAAAAATTGAGTAACGGTCCTCTCTCAATAGAGTCCAACTTAAAAAAAGAATTTTTTTTTATTGCGATAATCGTCTATGCAATAGACCGTATACGTGACAAATGGTAACGCGAACTAATTAATAATAATAATAATAATATAAATTATAATAATAATTATTATTATTATAATTTATTAATCGAGTATTTAGTCAATTACGGGAACTAAAAAGAATTTCAGGGTAACAAACAAAACAAAACGAAAAACGAGGAAGTACCGCCATCGTCACCACCGCCATCGTCACTTCCGGTGGTAATTGTTTGTACAGGTTGGATCGCAAATTTCGTGACCGTTTATTCGATTTAAAAAAAAAATATTCTCGATAAATTCTCGCTCACGATAAAAAAAATATTTTTTCCATTCGAAGTGTAATGTTTGTTTGCTCGTTTGTTTGTTTGTTTGTTTGTTTGCATGTTTTTTTTTTTTTTTTTTATTTAATTTGATGCGAATCCTTCGGAAACGTATTATCAAACAAACGCTAATTGTTAATCTAATGTAATGAAGAGAGGAAAAAAACGCGGAAAAACGTTAAAATTGTATTATTATTATTACTATAGAGAAGGTAGACATTTGACATTTATACATTTCTTTTATTTGTCGTTTATTTACTCTATGATTTGTAATCGTTAATTTTTTTTTTTTTACAAAGCGTGACTGACTGTTATCATTGTCAACATGAAACTAACTAATTATCGACTGTGATTAAAAAAATTGTAACGCGATTCAAGGTCGCGATGGTATCTCTCAGTTATCATATTAAGGATGATTGTAAACTGAAAAAACAAAAGAAAAAAGAAAAAATGATGGGGAAATCATAGTCTATTGCCACGTGAATTTAAAAAAAAAAAAGGCGGTTAAAAGTAAATTTCCCTCCAAAAATTTTCTCGCTATCGTCATAGAGTGTGTGTACGCGAACGAAGCGGTTGTGATAAGAAAAATTTTTTTTTTTAAAGTGAAAATAATTTGGCTGTTGTTTGTTGTTTGTTGTTGTTGTTGTTGTTGTTGTTCTCTCTCTCTCTTTGTGAATGTTGTCAGCGGGGCGATTCGTAACGTTTTTTTTTTTTTTTTTCCTTAATGAAATCGTTAAGAAATGAAAAAGGTTCTTGTTGTGCTTGCTCCTCGGGCGATATGAAATTAAAAACATCCGTCGGACAAAAAGAGAGAGAGAGAGAGAGAGAGAGAATGGGGAAAACGGGTCGTTAACGCGTGTCAACAGCGTGGAGGTAGTAGTGGTGGTGGTGTTGATGGTGGTAATAGGAAGATGGTAGGTCCCCTTTCCTGGCCTTCCCTGCCCCCCGCACAATCGAAAGAATTTCTTTTTTACTTCTTTGTCGTTTCGTGGAAACAAACAAACAGGGGTTTTTGACCTTTCACTCTCATCTCCTTACACGTCATTTTCGATAATTGATTCTCGCATTCTAAATTTTTTTTTTTTTTGCGCCGGTTTCAAATGAAGGAAAGGGAAAAAGGAAAAATTATTATTATTATTATTATAACATTTTTTGTTTTTACAGATGAGTTAAATAATTTAGAACCGCTGTCATCGTCGGCTCACGTTCACAGCGGAAGCAAAAGTGCTAGTCCCAGTCCAATTGTCGGAAATGCTAAATCTAGTCTTCGAAGAGGTCCTTCAAGCGTCGGAAGTCCCGATTGGTCCGCCACGGATGAAATACAAAGGCTCGTGGCACTGGATCAGCAAAGGCAAAGCAATTCGTCTCTAGGGGTGAGTTGTTATTCTTGTTTTTCTTTACTTCCGTCGGGCGAGGTCGTAAGGTGGGATTCACCCTTTCTCCCCCTCCTCCACTCCGATACCTTTCAATAATTGTTTTTTATGGGGAGAGAGAGAGAGAGAGAGAGAGAGAGAGAGAGAGAGTCCTACTTCAGATTAATAGTTGGTAGTTTCGGTATTTCTTTTTTTTTTCCCTTGTGATTTAATGGCGTCCTGCTGCCACGTTTTATTAAAACGTTATCGGAGAAAATTTACGGTCGAGTTTTTTGCGTCTTTCGAGAAAATAATAATGATAATAATGAGAGTCTAAGGTCAAGTCAAAAAAGTTTTTTTTTTTTTTTTTTCTAATGATGGTCACCGGGTTAAAAAAAAAATAAATCTCTTTTAAATCTCGTTTTTCTTTTCCCGCCCCCCCCACTCCTCTCCTCTCCTGCTTTGACATTAGTATTTCTTCAAACGGTAGATGATAATAATAATAATAAGAAAACGGGAAGAATAACTTAATTCGGTCCTGATCTAGAAATGTCGGACGTGTAGGGTATTTTTTTTTTTTTATCGTTGACGTTTATACAAAAATTTCTCACAAAACTTTCTCTTATAATTTCGAGCGAATTTCGAGTCGTGAAATTTTTTTCTATTTTCTCTCTCTCTCTCACTCGTTTCGTTTCGTTTTGATTGATAGAAGAGGAGGTTATTATTTCGAAGGGGGTATGAGGTTATGGTTATTATATTTCCGCCCGCTCCGCCCCGTCCCCTTCCCCGTTCGGAAAAATTAAAAACGGGAAGGAAAAATGGAAATAAGAGAACGTAACGCGGACGGGCGCGAAAATTTTACTTGTAAATTCTTAATTATTATCATTATTACTATTATTATTATCATTATTATTATTATTATTACTAATTACGTGATGTGTGCGTGTGTGTGCGTGTGTGTGTGCGTGTCACGCATGGAAAAGTTACAAAAAGTTTAGCGAAAGCGTAACCGCGCATCAATCGGAAATAATTAAATTTTGTTTTTTTTTTTTTTGTCGGAGGGGTAAAGACGTGGCAGGAGACGAAAGGCGGCAACCGACGGACGGACATGTTTATTTTTAGCGTTTTAATTCATCGCGAAAACGAGATGATTAAAAATTTTATATTTTATGGGGAGGAGGTTTTTCCGTAAGAGTACTCGTGCGCTCGTGCGTGCATGCGTGCGTGTGCGTGTGCGTGTGCGTGTGCGTAAGGGTTGTTGAGAAATAGAGCAGATGTTTCTGAAATTTTGACTCTCGTTTAAATTCCTTTCTCTTTCTCTCTCTCACTCTCTCTTTACCTTCCCTCGCGGGAAAATTTTCATGCAAGATTTTCTTTGCAAGAAAAGTACGAAACGATTTTTAATTTCAAAAAAAAAAAATCAGGAAAGCCAACTTTTTTTTTTTTTTTTTTTTTTTATAGTTGGTATATCTCTCTCCTTTCTCTTGCCTCGCGGTCATTAGCAAGTTTGTTTTTTTTAAAAAAATTTCTCTTGGTTTTCTTCCTCCCCTTCCCCTCCTTCCCCTCCTCCCCCTTCTCACAAATAATAAGAAAAAATTCGATTCGATTCGATTTCGAGATTAGTTAAAAAAAGAAAAATCGATTTTTTTTTAAAATTATTTATTTGGGGAGTTACACACACACGCGCGCGCACGCACGCACGCACGCACGCCTTGATTGAAACTAATCAATCGAACCAAATCGAAAACAATAATAATAATAATAATAATTTTCTATAAACGCGTCGTAAATTTAACAAATTGTTTCGTTTATTATTATTATTATTATTATTATTATTATTATTATTATTATTATTATTATTATTATTATTATTATTATTACGTAGCAAATTTTCGGATATGATTGAACGGTTTTCACGTTCCGTTAATCATTTCGTTTATATTTATGTAAATTTTTTTTTTTTTTTTTGCATCTTGCGACAAAATTCCCCGTCGCATACCGATAATGTCGAACGTTTCGTCGGTGGTTTTTGTTTGTTTGTTTGTTTGTTCATCCGCGAAGAATTTATTGTTTTTTTTGCGACATTATGTGTGTGTGTGTGTGTGTGGGCAGGAAGTAGGGGGTTCCCATTCGTCGACGACTTTAGAACATTCGAGAACGTGAAAGAAACGACGTTCGAAACAGTTTGTTTGTTTGTTCGTTGGTTTTCAACTCGCACGCGAACGTTTTTTTCTTTTTTTTTCTTTTTCACCTGTTGATGATTTTTTTTGTTTTTTCCTATCCGTTTCGCAATTACTCTTCTTTTTGGGGAGGGGGAAGGAAAGGGGGAACGGGGAGGAGAAAGGGAAACGCGTGAAAAAGTTTTTTTTTTTTTATCTTTATAAAAGCGTACTACGTAAATCATTTTTTTTTTTTTTAATTTTTTTTTTTTTAAAAAGGGGGGCAGTGCCGTGAGAAGAAGAAGAAGAAAGGGAAAGGGGCAGGGGAAGGGTGGAAGTAGCGGGTAGGAATTTCGGAAAGAAGAGTTAATAAAAAAAAAAAAGAATTTTCGAAAGGCGGAAAAATTCCATCGATGAAGCGTTGAACGTTTTTAAAATTAATTCGACTTTTTTCTTTCTTTTTCATCTTCTTTCTCACCATTCACTTTTATTATTATTATTATTATTATTATTATTATTATTATTATTATTATTATTATTATTATTATTATTATTATTATTATTATTTTAATGAAAATTATAAAAATAAAATGTAGGACGACGTCGGTAGGAAAAAAAAAAAAAACAAAATTATAAATTTAATTTATCAATTAGAAAAGACGTTTTTGTTCGAGAATGAAAGAAAGAATGAATGAATGAATGAATGAATGAATGAATGAATGAATGAATGATTGAATGATTGAATGAAAGGGAAAGAGAATTTTTTTTTTTTTTTTTCATTTTTTAATTGACGGAATTTCTAAAGTTTATTATTAATTAAGGCAGGTAAAATTAATAAATAATAATAATGATAATAAGTAAAAGAGAAACCGTAATAGGAGAAAAATCGGGTCGAGTGGGTACCCCCATTTCCCCCCTCGCCCCTCCCTCCGAAAAAAATCATTTCTATGGAATCCTGTAAATAAAGAAACCTGGAATGAATGCTTTTGTGGATGTAAAAGGGAACGCGGTCAAAGACAAACGTGAAAAGAAAGATTTCCTTTGATAAAAGATGAATATTATCATTATCATCGCAATCACATAGTTTTTTATAACATTTAATAATAATAATAATAATAATAATATAAATGCGGGCTCTCTCTCATATCATTTTTATATGCGAATATTAATATTTATTCTAGGTTTGTGGGACTCTCTTTCTTTTTTCTATTTTTTGTGGTATTTATTTTCGGGTGCAGTCGTGTGTTTCCGGTCGAACCTTCGTGTTTTTTTTTAATTTCCGAATTATCGTTGCCCCTTCTTCTTCCTCTTCTTCTTCTTCTTCTTTGCCTTCAGTTGTTGTAGAGTTTCGATAATTTGGAAAAGAAGACGCAGGGAGGGACGATGGGAGGAAATTATTGATTATTATTATTATTATTATTATCATTATCATTACTGTCGTGATGGGGGGGCGGGGAAGGGAGGGAGGGGAAAAGGACGTGTTGCTGTATGAAAAAAGAAAAAGAAAGAAACGCGACATTTTTTGTTGAGTAGAGTCGAAGAGTGCGAGTCCGTCACTCACGCACTTACGCACGCACACACTCAGAAGGAGAAAACAACTTTCCTCTTTTGAAAATGAGTGAGAAAGAAAGAGAGAGAGGAAGAGAGAGAGAGGGGAGAGAAACAAAAAAAGAAAAAGACGGGGTTGGGTTATAAAATATCAAATTGTCTGTAAGCCTGCCTCGAGCAAAAATATCGAGCCTCACCTTTGAGACCTTGATAATTGGATTTGCCGATGCCCCCGCCACCACCACCACCGCCACCGCCACTACCACGATGATTGGAAAGAAGAAGAAGGTCTTTCACTTAAGGTTCGGTTCGTAAGAATTACACCGTTTACGGGAAGAGATGGGATAAGTCCCGGAATATTTTGGTCGAATCGTTGATTGCTGATGATTAAAGAGGAAAAGATAAAGGAAAAGGAAAAGGAAAAAAGGAAAGAAGAAAAGGAAAGAAAATGGAAAAACGTTTACACAATACCAACTTAACCGCTCTTGATTTTTTTTTTTTTTTTTATTAAGTTTTTGACCTTCTCTTTTGACCATGTCATTACTTCCTAGTTCCTCTTCTTCTTCTTCTTCTTCTCCTTCGTCTTCTTAATCTCTTTGAGTTTTTCTTTTCTTTTGATTCTTTTCTTCCTTCTTCTTCTTCTTCTTCGTGTTGCTCGCGTAAAAATGTTATTTTTTTACTTTGTTTGTGTTGACGTTCAATGCCACGGTCGTTTTGTACGTAGCAGGAAATGATTTTTCCGTTTAACAGAAAATGAGAGTAGATGAGAATTTAATCTCTCTCTCTCTCTCTCTCTCTCTATCTTTCCCACTCTCTCCTTCTCATTCTCCTTCAACGTCCTGTTTATAATTATTATTATTATTATTAATTTTTTTTCGGGGATTGAAAACGTAACGAAAAGAAGAAAACGTTCCAAAATTATTAATAATAATAATAATGAAATCATTAAATATCAAATTTTTATTATTATTATTATTATTATTTGTTCACGAAGAAAAGGTTAGTCGTTTGTTATGGTTCTTGTGTTTGTTGTTGTTGTTTGTTTAAAGGTTGAAAAATGATTTTTTATTTATTGAGTCCATGGGCACGTGAATGAACAAGTATATGAATCATTTTTGGTATTTTTTTGTTTTTTGAAAGGGATTTTGTATGGCGTGCGAAAAAAGAAAACGTATCGTTTGTTCGGTTGTTTGTTTGTTTGTTTGTTTGTCGGTTGTTTTGAAATTATATTATTAATCGATGATGTACCGATTACAAATCTTTAAATTTTTTTGTTTTTTTTTTTTGTTTTTTTCAGGCGAGGAGCGATTCCATGGCGAGCGTTTATTCCGGAGCCGGAGAAGGACGATCCTGTTCGGTACCGGTTAGGGGAGAAGTTGAATTCG